GCCCTTATATATATATATATATATATTCTTTTGTTGAGCCTTTTATTGCATCTTTATGTCAAGTTGAAATAAATTTAATATTAACATAATAATGACTATCAAATTTTTTATTTTATATTTGAATTATTATCTAATTGCTATGATTTTAGTCAATTTTTTATTCTTCTAACTATTTACCACAAAATGTTTTTAGTTTATATTTGATTCAACTTATTTTTTTTTGTTGCAAAATAACCGTTTCTTTTAAAAATTCTCTTAAGAAGAAATGATAATTACTTCTTCAATAAGCTAAACTAAACACACTTAACTATCTAATATTCTAACTATCTCATGTATTTCTTATGTTTTTTTTTCCTCATTGGCATGTAAAAAATTTAAAACTTTTTTAAACAATAACTCTACTTAAAAATACTAGAAAAGTAAAATAAAAATTGAAGTTATATTTATTAATTTAGTTTTTAGACCTAAATGTTTCCCAAAAATATTTTTTCTTGCTACTCTCATCGTAGTCATTAGTCAAATTCTCAAGTATAAATATAATAATATTAAGTATTAAGTACTAAATGAATGAATGGTCAAAATTAAGATGTCACATTATAGAAACGATAAATGAAACTCCCACTTGAGAAAATAAATCAAAACTTAAAGTCGTCCCCAAATTGGTCAAAATCGAGGTGCGTCTTTGGGCCTTGGCAAACTGCATACACAACAAGAAATGGTCTTATTTGCTACTCCTTTACCTTCGGTGTTTTTTTAAAAGAGAGATTCAGGCGTTGATCTAGGAAATCGATCAATTCAAATATAATTGTTTTTCTCACAAAACATGTATATACAGTAGTATGATACTAGCGTGGAAGAAAGAAAGAGGAAGAAAACTATAGAGAATAAGCCCCATAATGTTGAAAAATGAAAAGTAATAGCCTCTGTACTAGACAATAATAGAGCAAATTGAAACTAAATATTTGAATCTTGTAATCAGACATGGGAAGCATGTTACATATCATTTTATTTCGTATACATATAAGGAATGGAAGGAAAAAATAAAACTATAATTAGTGTCACTGTCTCTTTCAGTTTCAGGGACAGGGGGAGTGAATGGTGACACTATATTTTGGTTTTGGCAGAATAAATATTATAAAAATGTATTTTGTACATATAAAACAACAAAACTATAATCAAGAAATTATATTACTCCTATATAACAATTTCACTTTTTTTAGATATTACCATGAATAAGTGTAACTATTAAGCTTTTGGCGAATGGATTTTTTTTTGTAGGGGACATTAATAGATTTGGCTGGTTTTAAACAAACAAAATAAATGAAAAGAAGTTTGTTTGAACTTCAAAAAGAAGAAGGATTTTTATTTTAATTTTTTTTTCAAAGGAAAAGAGATTGACAAAGGGATAACAGCGTAAAAGAGTTGCTAGAAAAGATGATTCGGTACGCAGACAATCACATGCAATTGAGTTGGCTATCTCGTAATGATGATTAAACTGCCAAGCTAGACACTCTTAAACTAAATCAACATTTAACATTTACATTTCAAAGACAAGAGATAAGACGAAACAAAAAGTTTTGCATTACTTTAAGTACTTTAACATTATTATTAGAATTTCACTTTAGTAATTATAATTCGTATAACAAGGTAAAGATTCTCATTGAAAGCTGTCTAATTATTGCTTTATTTGTCATAAAATAAAAAGCAACCCTTTTCCATGTCAGTTGATAAACAAAATTTGTTTCATCTGAGTAACATGCTTATCCGTGGTCGTGCACACCTACCATTCGTTATTCTTATTATAAAATTCAAAGTAATATATAACAGCAAACTCTGGCAGCAACATCCCTCCACAGATTGATAAACATAGCTTAGATGCTTCACGCAACATATCTTGAATATTAAAAGGGTTCTTAGAGTCAATGTCTACCTAATAATAACAGTATGACATTTACTTATATCAATGGCCAGACTGTCCATGTAACAGACCATTGTTGCTACTCTCATCAATCATTCTTCAATTATTAGTTATGTCAACCACATATAATTTTTTTTTGTTGCTCAAGCTCAAGGTGGGGTTATGTTAAGTATATATATAATAGATAGAGATGTTGGAACCAAATCAAAGTAGCAAAACATAGAGAAGAGTTATATTATAGTATGGAAACTCGTAACTTTGTCTTCTTGTCTTTGCTTCTTCTTCTGACTAGTGCTACTATAAGCTCAGCTCAACTCTCTCGTGGCTTCTACAACAACATTTGTCCCAATGTGGAGCAGTTGGTTCGCTCTGCCGTTACACAGAAGTTCCAACAGACCTTTGTCACTGCTCCTGCCACTCTTCGACTCTTCTTCCATGATTGCTTTGTCAGGGTCTGTGTGTAGCCATTCTTCATCAACTTCATGCTTTTCTTATATACATAACTTAATTACCATTGTTTGAGTTAACATATATATAGCTCTAATTCTTCATCATTATTATTTTAGAAAGACAATCATGCTTGCTTGGTTATTCAGTAAGGGTGTAAATAGGTTACGCGGTTTGGCAAGGATTTTTAGTTAAACCTACATAAAACTCAATCTAATTTGACTTGTTTATTAAAAAGGTTAAGTGTAACCTTTTAAAAAAACTTATTTATGTAATAGATACAAACTTTTACATGTTTATTAAGCCTAATAAATCAACCTATTTATTAACTTTATTATAAAATAGATTTTTAAACAAATTTTCTGTCAAGTCAAGTATTCAAATAAGACCTACTACAGGTAAACAAGCCTGTTTCCACTCGAAGCATTTAGGGACCAACATTATGAATGTATTTGGATAACAGTTTACATCATTACAATCGAAAATTCTCACTTTTCAATACACAAAATTGGAAAGCAAGAATATGTAACTTTTTTGTAACGTCCCTTTGGAGACATGTTAACTACAAACCAAACATACCATATTCAATTAGTCTATATTATCATTTGAAAAACATTTTCCTAGTGAAATCTAATTAAATTTGAGTATGTTTATCATTTAGACTAGAGTGTTGATACTAGGCTTTTGAGAAGACTGTTGACTTTTTTAATTGTTGATTATTTATATTTAGTATGTGAGATGATTAGAAATTTGTTTGTGCACACAGGGCTGTGATGCTTCGATTATGCTTGCAAATAGCCAGTCAGAGAAGGATCACCCTGATGACATTTCTCTAGCTGGGGATGGCTTTGACACAGTGATTAAAGCCAAGGCAGC